ATATTACTAAATGTTTTTATTCCTTCTTGTACAACACTATAGGACTTACAGATAATAAAATAAAAAACTGAAAATGCATAAAGCTTCATTTTTATTGTCCTCTTTCATTTTATTTTCTAATAATATTTCAATGGATTAACCTGAAGATCAAAACCCACTGATAAAAAATGGATTGTAATTCTAGCAATTTTTAACGGAATAAAAGTTGTCGCTTAGCTGCTGGGCGATAAGTATTTTAATTTCCGCTCCTTGATTTCAATGGAGCAGCGTTTGCCGTTTATTGTCCTGCTAAATATACTGATATTTCCTTCCTTAGTCCACCCGTATCTGAATAAGGGAGAAACGAGGCTACAATGGCGAGGAAAGCTACAGATAGTTCTGACAGATATGGTTTAAATCAAATATAGGAATAATATATATAAGATTCCTTTCTTATATATATTATTGAACTAACTTCTATAATGAACATTAAATATTCGTTCTATTGATTGTCATAGTGTCACAGTTTTAGTTACCATACTCCTCCGAAAGGGCTTAACCGATTTTCATTAAATTTAAAATTTAATATAAAAATTTTTCATCAAATTTTTATTTTATGGACAAAATTTTTGTGTGGCATTAAAAAACAACTCTAAATTTTCACCCTTCTACTATCAATCCTTATTTTTTTAATAACAATAGTCTCTACTTATCCCGATCGTCCGTATAACTTTATAGGTTAACTTCCATTCATGTTCTTGTCCCATAATGTCCAAGGCAAAGTTCTCCAAAGTAAACTGCCAATTCTTTCTGATATCTCTCTCTTGTGCCTTGCCATTTAGGACAAGCAAAGAATGTGAGTTCCGCATTATCTATTGCTTCATAGTATCAACAAATCTTCGTATTTGATCTTTTTCTTTTATAGAAGAATGCGCTGAAGCAGCTGTGCCCTGAGAGGGCCTTGGTGAAGTAGTAGTCGACCTCCCCGTAGCGCCTATTCTGCCAGTTGCAATTAAATGTTCATGATGATCCTATATCTCCAACCATCGGCCTTGGGTACTAGTCCTCCAGTGCTCCTGCCAATTGACCATTAGTGAATTTCGCGCCGGCGCCGTGTCTCTCTCCTATCCGTTGTGTATGTTGGCTCTTTCATTGATGAGAAGGTCTATGGGTATGATGATAAGAAGGTCTATGGGTGGTGTTGTAGCTATTACTCCGACTGCTTCAGGCTGAGATTGTTTTGTACACGTAGATTTATTCTAATGCATATTAGTCTACGAACTCTAGTGAGTTTGCTGGTAAGTATCTTATTATTTGTTGCGTTATTCCGCACTGGTGCAGCATAGAGTACCTGGGATTGCATTACACATGCCAGTGCTTTCCTTTTAGATTAGCTTGGATCGGCTATATATGGCATAAGTCTGGAAAGGGTTTTCTCCGCTTTTTCTATGGTGCGATGTACGTGTATGGAGGAGGTGAGCTTGTTGTCCAGCCACACCTTGAGATATCTCAATGATCTATCAGGTACAATTCGTGTTCGAAGCAGGTTAAAATGCACTTGTTTCAAGTTAGTCCTTTTAGTTGGGAAGACCGCTTCTGTTTTTTTTTCTGGTGCGAGTCTGAGATCCAGTTTACGACCATCATTAGACCCAGATTACCTTTTTCCATGAGCCAGTCCTCACTCCTATCAACTGCTACCATTGCTATATTGTCTTCAAATCCAATTAACGTTACGTTCTTTGGCATTTCCGTCCTCAATAGATCGTCATATAAGAGTCATATAAGAATGTCCATACTAGGATAACTAAAGATGTTATTATTGTTTTCTCTAAAAACGGCTTCTTTAAATTTACGCTTTTTCCAATTAGGTTCCCTGTGGACAACCTGGAGTTCCAACCACTTTATGCTCGAATGTTTGTTTACATCTGAGTCTAGAAACAATAAATGTTAAATTATGAGGCAAAATTGGAGACCGTTTGTTTAGTATTTCACTGTCTTTATTTTTACTGTATTATACAGCTAGGAAGTTTTCGATATCAAGAAGAAACTAAAGATTTACATCCTAAGACCCTGAGAGCTATTTAAAGGGTTTAGTCTCCAAGTTGCTAAACTTTTTGAAAATAGTAATTGGACTGGAGAATGAACCTAAGGATCACAAGAGGACCACAATAGATCTAGAAAGGTCGCAATGGATCAAGCTGATGGCTACCTCAAATAAAATAATATTATATATACAATAGTATATAATCGAATACCTTAAAGGTAAGTCAGTCGAAAGTGCTCTGCATTCGGTAGTAGAGACAATTGAAAAATCCCTCAGGGATAAGGAATACACATTAGTGGCTTTCTTAGACATAGAGGGTGCTTTCAATAATGTAAAGGCAGAGGCTATCAAAAAAGCCATGGAGGAACTAAAGGTAGAGCAGTTAACCATCAACTGGGTGTTAGAAATGCTAGAGAACAGGACTATTACATCGGAGATGGAAAACAGCTCAGCCAAAAAGTGTGCAATAAGAGGAACGCTACAAGGAGGGGTATTAGCACCTCAGCTGTGGCTGATTGTAATGAACCCGATCCTGACCTCTCTGACAATGAAGGGAATTAGGATAAAGGTATATGCAGTCTACGTGGTAATATTAATCGTTGGCAAAGACTTGCAGACGATCAGTGACATCATGGAATCTGCTCTGAAGAAGCTAACGGAATGGGCAATAAGGAATGGTTTGGGCATCAACCCAGACAAAACCGAACTCAAGTTCACGCTACCAAAGCTGGAAGAGAAGACATTTTTTGTACTTGCTAAGCAGACAAAATATTTAGGAATCATTCTGGGCTCGAAGCTTTCCTGGAAAAGGAACACGGAGGAAAGGATGATAAAGGGAATAAATGCATTCTATGCATGTAAAAAACTATTTGGAAAGAGATGGGGTCTGCAACCGTACATTATATACTGGACATACACTGCTATAGTTAGACCAATCATCACTTATGGAGCACTAGTATGGTGGGAAGCGGTACTTAAAGAGACTAATAGAAAAAGCCTCACAAAAAATCGCCTCAATCGACTGGCTCGTGAAGGATCTGGCCGGTAAGGGTGCCCTAAGATTAACAGAATCCAATCTGTGGAACCAGACCAACTACGGTCACTCGAGGATATTGCCAATGATAGGGAAAATCATGGTGAACACGAGTCCACATCTACTAGACCAGGAAACGGACTATATGCTCACCAAACATGATTTTGGAGAAAAGATAAGGATTCGCATCCCGACAAGAGAAGAATAAGAAAGCAACCGAGTAATGAACACTCAAGAGATAGCAGTCTACACAGATGCTTCCGCAACTTCAGGAGGCACAGGTATAGGCATCTTCTCAGAGGAACTAGACATCCAACGATCTTTAAGTCTATCGGATGGCTGTAATGTTCTACAAGCGGAGGTTTACGCCATAAAGGAAGCGGCTAGTTGTACACAAGAGAAAATTGCTGATAGACCAATAGGGGATATAGTGATATACTCTGACAGCTTGGCCGCTTTAAGAAGCATCACCATGCAATCAGTGAGATCGAAAACTGTGATGGAATGCCGAAAAACACTGTCCTGGCTCCGTCATGGCGGGGCTACTCTGTGCTGGGTGCCAGGCCACAGCAATGTGGTGGGCAATCAGGAAGCAGACAGACTCGCCAAATACGGGGCCAGGGGAGAGGCTGTGGCAGATGACTCACTACTTGTGACGATCAACACACTGAAGGAAGCTATAGGAACTGCCATCAAGGCCAAGCAGCAAAAGACGTGGCAACACCGTGACGACTGCGCTACAGCTCGAAGACTATGGCCAATGGTAGATAGCAAAAAGACAAAACAACTATTATATCACTAAAAGGATCTAGTACGCATGTCCCACGAGGGTAAACCTGGTGAGCTGGAAAGTTTCCAACGACGACTACTGCAGAGAATGCGGAGGGACTAGAGGAAGCAGCAGAAGCCAAAATCAACGACATCGGGAACTTTGCAAAGGACTGGAAGTGTTTTAACAGGGGTATCGCACTGGGCCCAAGGCCTCCGAGTGAGGGATCAAACATGATCCCAAACCCCAGCAACCTAACCGAACCTGACCTATAATCTAATATTTTTAAACTCTGCGATTAAGGGTTGTAAAATATGTAAATATAATTTGCTAAAACTTAACTAACCCTAATACTACATAAAATTATTATTATCAACTAACTTAATTTCTACAAATGTGAACATATTTGCATCACACAACAGCAGGAAACTTTTATTTGCGTCATGAAAGGTTATGTTATGTATATAACAAATCTTATCACCTGTGATTTATTAATCTACGAGTACATAATTACAGATATATTTAGCTTGTACGAATTTTATTAACAAAAATACAATTATGTTCTATAAATAGCAGTGCAATTAAAGACACATTATGATTAACATTTTTTTGCTGATATAAAAATAATTTTGACAGGGAACATATTAATAATGGAGCAAAAATCATATTGTGGTCTCTCACACAATACCCAACCAATACTTAACTATGTTAAAAGTTTTTGAGGATATTATTTAAATAGGACACCTTTTTTCTAGCAAAGTTTAACAGTGGCTACGAAATTGCTTATATTATCTCCTAGCCACTTGTATAGTTTTTGTATTTTGAACACTATATTGAATTTCAAACAAATTTTGTGTTAAGTCAAATATGCCGTTTTAAATGCAGAGTATCCTAAAATACCAGATCATATATTTTTTGTCAATTTGTTTTAATTTTTATATACTATACAGGATACTCATAATAATATGCTAAAAATTACATTCCAACAAATTACAAAAACACTGGATTACTTTAATTACAAATTATAACTTCCATTTCTTTTTAAATTATTTTTATCACTTATATAAAAATATAATTAATTATTATACTAATTTATTAATATTGCATTACTACAGTTTATATACCCCGTGCTTTATTTTATATTAACAAGTATCTATAAATTAATATTGTTTTAGAGCGTATTGGAACAAACAACACCATGTCACGTAGAAGAAGATATTTTAACAAGTATCCAAGAAGAATATACGATGGCTAACAGTGTCCCTCAGCTGCAAAATGGGCACACTCATGTACACCCTCACACCGACAATGCCCATCATAAGAAACAGGGTGTATCAGCAGAGTCCAGTGAAAAAACTTTAAATGCCAGCGATATCACTATTACAAAATATGAGAAAGATTTCAGGTTAGTCAATTTTGTAGTATTTGAGTTGTATTCAAGTCTAAAAGATGATAGATTTCCATGACAATATTTTTCTGTTAATCTTCAGAAGTAGTAAACCAGAGTTGTATACCAATTATATATTATAGCTCTAAAAGCCTAAAAGGCTCATGGCTTGATTGGTTATATTTCTCCATTTGTTTCTGTCTTTCGCCTTTATTCTCCACCCAGCCACTCTCTTATACTTCTCAAGTCCTCTTCTACATAATTTTTCCATCTGATTCTCGGTCTACCCCTCCTTCTCTTTTCACCTATTTCACGTTTCATTATCATACTAGGAGTTCTTGCTTCAGCCATTCTTTCAATATATCCCAGCCATCTCAGTCTTTGTGCTCTTGCTACTCCCGTTATACTCGGTGCCCGATGTAGTTGCTTTAATTCTTCATTTGTTTTTCTGGTCCATATGTTGTCTATCTTCTTTCCTCCAAAAATCTTCCTCAGTATTTTTCTTTCCCAAATCTCTAACCTTGAACTTTCCGTTGCATTGAACATCCACGTTTCACATGTATACAGCACTATTGGTCGTATCATTGTTTGGTACATTCTGATTTTTAAACTTCTAGAAATTCTTACTCTTAATAATTTTCTGTAGTGCACTGACACATCTATTTCCTGCCATTACTCTTGCCATATTTTCTTGAGTTACATTTGGATTCCTTAGAAATACGGCTCCTAGATATGACAGTGAATGTATCTACTTCCTCAAACTTGTATCGTTTACCTCTCTCAGAATTCACTTGTAGACATCTTCCCTTCTAAAAATCACTATCTGACAAGTCCATAAATTTCGTTTTCTTCTCATTAAACACTAAGCCTACTTTTTGCGCTTGATTTTCTAGTCTTTTAGTCACCGATATCAGCTCTTTCCGATCTCTTGCTAAGATAACTAAATCATCAACAAAGGCTAAGCATTGGTGTATTTTTGTATACAGAAGGCTCTCTATGTTGATTCCCGCATTTTTTTATAATATGTATACCAATTACCTTATTATTATACTCCCTACATTATCAAGTATACACTGCTTTTATTTTAACTGTGAACATAGGCGGTCAATCACTGTAATTTGTAAATCACTCTCCTGTTGTGAGTCCATAACCAACCTTTTATCATCCATCGATGAAATACCGACAGGTAATACTGTTTTTCACCGAAAAATTAATAGACATGAAATAAAACACAAAATTTTTTTTTCGTTGAAACTTAGGATTTTTGGAATTTTTTTAGCTAGATCTATTTTTAGCTAAATAAAAAATATATTTTACAACAAAAATATCTTTTTGTTGTGTGAATATTGGTTGCATACCACTCAAATCCAATGCATTGGAACAGTCAATTTAAAAATGAAAATACTTAACAAAATAGCATTGCACTCTGTTAAGCCCTATGTTCACAGTTAAAATAAAAGCACGGTATGTATTCATCTACTACTTCCAACATTTATTGTACAGGGTGGGTCCTTGGACACTTTTAAAGTGAAACATCCTTTTCTATAGGAGATAGACGAAAAATAATATCGGTGTCTGTAGCTCAATTTTTATCAAAAACATGATCGTGAAAACCGCATCTGTTATGTAATGATATCTGTTATCGTTTATGAGTTACGGGGCGTTTTTCAAAAATGTGTATTTTTAACAAATCGTTGTAACTTTTTTGCTATGGAAAATTTTGTATTTTTATGAAAACATTTCCAAAGCACCTTTTTACGTAGAATTTAATGGTTTAAGTATAATTTTTTTAAAATTAAAAATTTAAGAATTATCAACAGAAAATTTGATTTTTTATATGGAACAACCTGTATATTTTTAATTCATTGAAAATAATTTAAAATTACCTTTCCAAAAATATAACATACTTGATATTTTGCTCGATTCCTGTTCGAGATATAGAGTTTTTAAAAATTCACCCACTTTGAACAAGTAGGCTTTGAACCGCGGCTGTAATGCAAGAAACATGTAGCTTTGAGCAGCGATTAAAACGAAAATAATATTTACAATGAGAGATTTAGAATTTTATAACAATTTAAACTATATTTAACAACATCAACACATTTAAAATATATCTAATAACAATAAAAATTAATAGCAAACCAAGACGAAAGAATTCCGCGAGAAGATTTCTTGTTGGGGGTGAAAGATTCCCTCACATAACCGCTAAGTACTTCTAATTCTTGTCTATATTATACGGGCAATTTAAAAATAAGAACCTTTATTCTCCCGCAAAGACAAAAATCCATATGCACTAAGACCGGCGGCCTCGATGACCAACGGCTGGGATCTTGGTTAGCTAATCATCAATTATTCTCGAAATTGGCTGCAATAGTTAGCTGATAGTTAGGGGTCCAAAGCCTACTACTTAAAAGTAGCGAACTTTTAAAAATGCTGTATTTCGTTGGTGATTATAACAAAATATCTGCTATAAAAGTGTGCTATATTTTTGGAAAGGTAATTTTATGTTCTTTTCGTTCAATTAAAAATATACAGGGCGTCCCAAATAAAAGATCAATTTTTCTGTTGATAACTCTTAAATTATTAATTTTAAAAAAATTATACTTAAACCATTAAATTCTACGTAAAAAAGTACTTTGGAAATGTTTTCATAAAAATAGAAAATTTTCCATAGCAAAAGAGTTACAGCAATTTGTTAAAAATGCACATTTTTGAAAAACACCCCGTAACTCCGAAACGGTAACAGATATCGATGTGCGGTTTTCACCATCATGTTTTTGATAAAAATTGAACTCCAGACACCCATATTAGTTTTCGTCTATCTCCTATAGAAAAGGGTGTTTCCCTTTAAAAGCGTCGAATTTGACCCACCCTATACATGACGGTCGATTTAATAGATTCATCAACTTGACTATAAGCTCATTTATGTGTTTTCTCCAGGGTTGTAGAGATCCATTAGAACATTATATCCTTTATACCTTTGTTTTTCCAATCTATATATTATTCTACAATGTTGTGAAAACTTTTTGGGGAAATTAAATATCCCTGGAATTTTTTAAAGGTCTGGATATAGGTACTTGGATTTAAGAAAAACTGCATGTATTTTAAATTAAAACTGAACAGGTAACAATGCAAAACCAGACAAATGTCAAAAAATCTTAAATTGTGTCGACCTATGATTTTATCATTGTCAAATGTAATTTGTTCTGCTGCTTACACTACTAAAGTTGTAGTTCCTACGGCTAGTGTCTTCGAAATGCATTTTGTAATTTAAAAGCTGTTCGAATTTGGCAAAAGCCGTAATGTATATAAAATACAATTTGATGATAATAGGTTGACAACTTAAGGTATCTGGGTATTTACCTGGTTTTGCATTGTTACCTGTACAATTTCGATTCTAAAATAGATGCCTCAAATTACCTCAAATCTATTTAAAATTTAGATCAAAGCAGCTCATCAAAGATGCGCTAATGGACAATGCGTTCCTAAAAAATCTGGATACGTCACAAATAAGGGAAATAGTTGATTCGATGGTGCCAAAAGACTTTTCCGCTGGTTCCTATGTTTTGAAGCAAGGCCATGCAGGTGTGCATTTGTTCGTGTCTGCCGACGGAGAATTTGAGGTGATTCAAGACGACAAAATCCTGGGGCATATGGGACCAGGCAAAGCTTTTGGAGAATTGGCAATATTGTATAACTGTACTAGGACCGCTTCTATTAAAGGTAGGTAATGTTAACGATCTATAATTTAGAACTAGATTGTAGATATTCTATATAAAAATAAAATTACCTATTTCCAGTAATAGTAGTCTCATACCAAAGTTTATGGTATGAATGGTTATCGTCTCGGCACACTCGATGATGAGGTGTTATCACCGGCAAGATCGGTGCCGGAGTCGGCGCTGGCTTTGCACTCCTTCCGACAGTTCTATTTAATTCTATTGTATTTGCCAGTCCCCGGCTAATTTACCGGATCGGAGTATATGTGAAGGACCTAATTTATTTATATTGCAATCGATTTCAGGTGCGGCACAGGCACCGATATTACCGGCGTGTGTGAATGCGCTCTTATGGTGTTTCTAGAGGTGGGCAAAGATTGAACGAGTCGTTCATTTGAACGAATATTAAAAATAAATATTGAGATTCAATTCATTGTTTGCAATACGGTTCGTTCAATTGAATCGTGGCCAGCGCGGATCCATAAGATTTGAACGATGAGCCGTAAAAAAGAATCGTGAGAATTGAATCGGATCACAATGCGATCATTGGTTCAAAGTGTCGTGAGAATTGATTCATTGCTTACAATACGGTTCGTTCAATTGAATCGCGGCCAGCACGTATCGACAAGATTTGAAGGATGAGCCGTAAAAAAGAATCGTGAGAATTGAATCGGATCACAATGCGATCGTTGGTTCAAAGAGTCATGAGAATTGATTCATTGCTTACAATACGGTTCGTTCAATTGAATCGCGGCCAGCACGTATCCATAAGATTTGAACGATGGGTCGTAAAAAAGAATCCTGAGAATTGAATCGAGTCACAATGCGATCGTTGGTTCAAAGTGTCGTGAGAATTGATTCATTGCTTACAATACGGTTCGTTCAATTGAATCGTGGCAGGCACGGATCCATAAGATTTGAACTATGAGCCGTAAAAAAGAATCGTAAGAATTGAATTGGATCACAATGTGATCGTTCGTTTCTACGCCGCGACGTAAAAGAGTCAGGCAGCAATATTTAGACTTGAACAAAATCCCTAAACAAATATCATGGGTATAAAATGCAAACGATAAGAAAGTTATTTACAAGAAAAAAACTTATTAATACTGTGCTTAGTACGGGAGTATCTGTAATGTATTTAATTTTCACGTTAATATTTTTGTTAAAATAATGATATTACCGACTATAAACCATTAAATGTCGGACTAAAACTCGAAATCGTGTTTTTATGCAAGTCCAAATAAATGTTATTGGCCTCTGCTCAATATGAAACTCAATAAATCTGCTACAATATCAAGGATTGATAATTTAATATTACTGTTAAAATAATCAGTCCAATTACGCTAGTGTCATAAACTGTTGAAAAACAAATGAAAGAACTCTATATTTCTTTTTCTGGTCCCTTAAGTAATTTTCCGACCAAATTATCGCCGGTAGTGCCAGTTACGATTCTTGTTTTTATGAAACGAAAATTGTGCTTGTGCATGAACGAATCGTAGGAGTCGATTCAATATGAGAAATTAAATTGTGATTCGATTTACTAAAAAGAATCGTAATGCCCATCACTAGGTGTTTCCGCATTTTCCCAATAAAACCTGCATTCGCCGTTTTTTGTTTTAACGGGACAGTTTTCTTTTAGCGGGACATTTTTCTCGGCCGGAAATATTCTCGTCTTTTTCAAGGCTGCAATACAGAGAAAAAAACCTACTTAGACTATAAAATTTAAACAGCCTCGGCACTATCCCCGAAATGTTTTACAAAGTAGTTCTGGAAATATTTCGTGAAACATTTCGCAAAACATTTCTGGAAATACTTTCAGAAGTAAACTCAAATATAAGCCCGTGTTATAAAAATTAGTTTCCTGAAATAAGTCGAGACGCGCCGTGATTGGTGGTTTGTTTTTTATTGTACGACAATTTAAAATATCAAATTACCAATATAATAATCAAAGATATATTTTTGGGTACATAATATTATAAAGTGATTTGCACAAATTTCAAATACAGGATTTTAGAATTTTATTACCATTATTTTATGTTCAGATATTCACATAATCATTTATTAAAATAATCTAGTAAAATATATAGTGTTGGCAACACTGTATAACTTTGATAGGAATATAAAAAAAGATAATAATTTTTTAAATAGCGCCACTTTTTCCTTGCTTGTATGACCTTTCATAATTTCATTTATCGTTCGAAATAGATAAACAAAAGTATGTCGGCAGTTTTCTTTTATAGTTAAAATTATTAAAAATTACTAATTCTAAATTATCGCTAAGAAAGTTATTACCATTTTATTAAATTAAGTTTTTTCGTTAACAAAATATTGTTAAAAAGATAGCATCCATTCAAGATCCATTCAACGTGGTTAGCGAAACGCCCGTCCAGAGTTTAAGAGTGTTGTGTCTATTGTGGTGAATTAGTTTTTAATTTTGCTATCTGTAATTAGCTGAATTTATTATATTATATTAAATAATTTCATGTATCATAAATACGGTTTGTATGTTTGTTGAAAACTAAATTTTATTTATTGAATGTTTAATTACATTTTTTGTCTATGTCTACAAAGATTTAATCTAACATTTTTTACTTCCTAAGATTTATTAAACCTTTCCAGTGTCATAAATTACAATGATTTTATGACATGACTTTTGTGAGGTCATACCATTAACCTTCCTACTAAAAATAAAAATTATTATTGTTCTACAGGATGAGTCTTAAATAAGTGCAAATATTTTCAGGGCTGGTAGCTCTCCATAACAGAAACATATTTTACATCGCCGTTTTCATGTAAGTCGAAAATAACCGAGTTACTTTGAAAAATTCCAAAAAAAAAATTTTTTTGCTTAAATTTTCAGAACCACTGAATCTTCTCTGGGGTTTCTTTCTTGTAAATTTAATCTACTACCTATGTTGCCATATTATCAAGAAATTATGTTTTTTAACTGAAAACTAAAAAAAATCCAAAAAAAAATTCAAAATATTCCAAATTTTCAATGTTTTTTTTTCGCGAATAAAACGTCATAATCGTGTTTCTGTAATCAAAATATACTACCCCTAAAAATGTTTGCACTTATTTAAGGCTCGCCAAAAATGACAGTAATCTTCGTTTCTAAGCTAACTCTAACACCATTTTTTTCGCCACATTATATAATCCTAGTTCTCTATAGTTGTATTTGAAATTCGTTAGGCGCGATTCTCACTATAACGTACAACGTACCGCCACCGTAACATCGAGCACCACTCATACATATAATAACATATTCACGCTTACAACACACCGTAACGTCGCTGTCGCGTCGCGCGTCGTGGCAACGTCCATCTCCCATTTACTTCATGTTTTAGGCTAAGCGCAAATTGAGTCGCGTGTATCGCGTGTGACATGACCAGGCACGACGCGAGTTTTTGTAAATAACAGAAATAAATGGGACAGCGCCAACGCGACCCGCGTGCCTCGCGTTCGCGTGCCTTAATTTTGATTATTATGAATACAGTAAAATTTCCACTTCGGCATCATCCGACGGACATCATCATTGCGGACCACCAAGAAGCGCTAGTGCCGCGCCTCTTCATGTCGGTCGCATCGTCATGTCAGGTCATGTCACACGCGACTCAATTTGCGCCTAGCCTTATGTCAAGCTCGACGACGCGACGTGACGGTGACAGTACGTTACAGTGAGAATCGCGTCTTACCCGGTTTTTCAAGTCATGGATTGAATTACACTAGAATTCACTATAAATAAGTACTGTAGAGTCAATTTGTGTAAGTTATTTATTGTGGGGCAAATTTTCAAACCTTTAAAGAATTATTTATCGGTTATTTATTTATAAATCGATAAATATAAACATTACTCTTTTTTTTGAGTCTTTATATTTATTGATGTCTAGTGCAATAAATTACTAATATTTTATGGCCCTTAAGCCATAAACATTACTGGAAAAATCAAAATTTAAACTGGTCTTGATTTTACCTGTATTTATAACACAAAAACCATAAGTAGTATTTATTTAATTATTATTTTACGTAAAGAATAAAAAACATAGTCCTACAAATTCCAATTGAGACCTGTTAATCGGTTTTTTATTGTAAAACGTCAGGTTCAAGAGAAATTTTTGAATTATTAAGCATACCGGCCTCGAAAAACGTTCAACATATTTAACGTTTGATAAGTAGGCGATTATTCGCCATAGCCGTATCGCTAAAATTATAAACAAACATTGGATCCGCAAACTCTTCAATCAGGCGCTCTTGGGAAACAATATCAAACAATCGCGCTTTAGTACTCTACGGCGTGTTGCCAAATGTTACCGAGATTATTCAACTAAACCTTTCACCATGTTTGACCTGCTCAGCTGTGCGGCTCACAAGAAATCCAGAAAAATCAACAAACATCACAAGAACCAGCCGTACCAGTTGTGGCTGCTGGCAGGAAAGCAATGGTTCAATTTTATTTTGAGAGGTATTGACTTCTCTGTTTAATTATAAACATTCTTTAAATAAACAGTTACATTTAGGTCAGAATTTATTAAAAAAATGTTTTATTTCAGCTTTGACGGATTCGAAAGTATGGATGCTGGACAGAAAAGTTTTCCAACAAATAATGAAAAGAACAGGATTGCAGAGACTTCAGGACAATATAAACTTTTTGAAATCGGTGCCTCTATTGGAAAACTTGTCAAACGATGTACTCACGAAGATAGCTGACGTCTTGGAAGTGGTACGTTTAAAAACGATTACTTAGATCTCTAAGTACAAAAATCTGAACAAATATTGTTTAGAAATACAAATTTCAATATTTGTCAATTTTCTAAAATTTAAACAATATATTAAGAGATTCTTGTTAGACTAATTGACGCTTTATCAACGATTGTTGTCACTAAAAATAATTTAGGAAATTTGAAATGCTATGACTCACGGTTTTATTTACGGACAGCTTACATAATGACTATACCGAGTGATATATTTGAAACTGGCTAAAGAAATATTTATGATACATTTTTAAATAAAATATTTGAAAATAATTAATATAGTTTTTTATCTTTTCATTGTCTTTTACGTGCATAGAGCTATATGTCAATGAGCTTGATTATTTTTTTTTTTTCAAATTGATAATTAGATTTCAGTAGAACAATTTGTTGTGTATGACGTATTTAACTTATTAAGTAAACGACGGATACAAAAAATTGATAAAAAATTAATTTCATTAAATATAATTTTTCTAATTGTTATTAATTGTTAAACATTTCATATTTCAATTTTAGGAATTTTATCCTGCTGGAGCTTATATTATCAGACAAGGTGCCAGCGGAGATACCTTCTTTATCATCAGCAGTGGATGTGTTAAAGTCACACAGAGACCTCCAGGTAAGATATGAGTTTATGATGACATGTTGAAACCAAAGGATTGGCATTAAAAATGTTTAATAAATACTAAACATTTTAATGGTGTAGTGAATACTTTAGTTTCGATATAAACAAATAAACGTACAATTTTGTATTTGTACTATTTAAATTATAATAATATTTTCTTCTTATTTTCCTATATTAGTAGAAGCTTTAAATATGATTTTTTATTATATTTACTCAAATATTATAGTTTATCTTAGTATAATAGAATATTAATAAGTATTAGTATAATTAGCGTCATACTGAGAAAAGTAAGTAATAGATTTTTTTATGTATTTTCTGTTAGGAAATAATTTTAACTTAGTATGTCCAGTTCAGATAACAATAATTGATTTATTAAACAGCCATAATTTCAAAAATAACTTAGTATCTATGGATTAAAATTATACCAATAATTATATCAATCGTCTCATGGTAGAAGCGTGGTCTGAATTTTAACATGTAAGACAGTGACGCAGACAGATCAATGAAAAATCAAATGTATTAAAAAGAAAAAAAGTTGGGTTGATACATTTTTTCTATGCGGTATTGTCAAAATTTGTATTAGTATTGATCGCATTTTTACAATAGTAATTTTATATGGAATTTAGTATTTGTTCTGTAGGTTTCTCATAAAATTGCCATTCCAGAAACACCGTTCGTACTATTTGTGCATTTATAAACATGGTATTGTTATAATATAAAAGATAAAAAACACAACAAAAGTAGAATGTAGAATAATCACTGCAACCTTAGAGATCTATTTTGTTCCCCTTTCTTGAGTTATAACTCGTCATACAGTTCCAGGGCTTTGACAAAAGCCAGTGTCTGAGACGGTTTTACAGAGGGCAGTTCTCCATCTTCAATATCAGTCGTGCCAAAGTTTATGACACGAATGGTTGTCGTCTCCGCGCACTGATGATGATTCTGGTGTTCTGGTGTTTGGGTGTTTCTGATGTTCTGGTGTTTCCCCATTTTCCCTACAGAATCTGTATTCGCCGTTTTTTCTAAGCTTTGATCTACTGAGCTGTTCATTGAGGAGACAGTGTCCTGTTAAAAAAAAAACCGTGACAATCCGAAGTTCTTGAATCTTTTAGTTGGTTTTCGCTTGGAAAGCAGAACGGTTTTGGTCCAGTTAGTGGAGTGTTTGTTCCTTTTCTAGCTAGATCATGTTTTCTCATTACCTTCTCTCCCTTGGTAAGCTAGCATCCAGAGTAGGAGGACTTTGTTTTCTTTGCCTAATTTGTTCAGCTTCTGTATGCATTATTTTGAATTGATTGATACTGAGTTGATCGTTTTTAACGCTGCTTAACAATAAAAATAAGCAAAGGTACAACAAAACTAAAAATATATAAAAAATCAAACAAATCAAAAATATCTTGTTAAAAAATCTTGTTATAAAAATAGATAAGAATCACCTTGTATATGTATGAATATATTTTTAAACTGGAAATCCATCATTACCAGAATACTGGATAAAAGATTATACCACATTATACTGAAAATTTCACACCTCTACTTTTCAACCAATAACATGCTTTAATGTTGACTAGTTACCATGGCAACTGAAAAAATTTCCGGAAATTTTTTCGAGGCGCCACGAAACTTTAGTGGAAATTTTTTGACAGTTGAAAAGGTAAACATAAGATCTACAATCATAATGTGAATGAACTACAATGTATATGTCTATATATTGAAATATTACCCATTTGAGTTTTAGCATTTGATGTAACTAAGGCTGGTAAAATTTTTTATTTAAGGAAATATGTTAGATATACCTACATATGAATTTCTTCGAAATTGCCATGTTCTAAAAAATATAGTTCTGCCGCCTTTATTTAACTAAAGCTGGTATTTTTCTATTTAACGAAATATGATGGATATATCTATATGATTTTTTTAGAATTTATTTCATGTTGAATTATCTTCAATGCCAAATCTTTAATGATATCGACTAATATAGCAAAATAATAACGAAACACATTTAGTAATTATAGGTTTTATTAATATTAAAAACACAATTATTGTAAATGTTTGTAGGCTGGCTTGAATTGGTGGTTTGAATCTGGGTATTTTCTGTTTTATTTTGCATTGTGCTCTGATCATGATTGAACTGGCTAGTACTTGATGAAATGCTCCTCATGGATTCAATCATCTGTTGATGATGTTCAGCGTCCAACTGTAAGTAAGGTTTGATCGACTGACTATTACTATGTCCAGTAATTTTAATGAGCTGTTGTTCACCAACTCCTTTCTTGGCCAAATTCGAAACAGCTGTTGCTCTTGCAGAATGATTGGTTATTTTAACTTTTTTAGTGTCAATTCCTATATCTGAAGCTGCTGATTTAAACCATGAAGATACAATGTTCTTACCAACTGGGCTATTCTTGTACCATCCTTTCGAATTGGGTTGATTCCAGTATGGGTTTGGTGTTAAGAATAGTCTGTCGGTTTGAATAAGATTTCCCCTTTTTTCCATCAACTTTCTAAACAAGCGAACCGGACACATTTGTGGATTTTCGAAATTTCTAATCAACCATTTACTATCCGACAGTTTTTTAGAACCACCTTGTGTGGTTTTAGAGAAAATTGGATTATATTCTATCCGACCTTTTGGGTTTCCGAAATTATCAGTTTCTTCTTTGAAGTATTGGATACAAGCAGAATGTCCTTCCCCTCCTCTCCATGCCAGCTCATGTGAAACTATGTGAAAAAATTTACGCTGCAACCCATCTGGAGTATTTTCATCCCACATTTCAATAATTTTTTTGTATTCGTCACTGGTTAAGGCTGAAGCACTCACTTTTCTTTTTGCTGAATCTCTCTGTAGTATTTTGCGCTTAGCATCGCGTGCAGCTCTGGCGGTCACAAATTCCACATCAGAAAACGGATTAAATTTTATTTTATATTTTTCGTAATAAATTTCTTGCAACTGCTTAGCAGTAGAGTTCCACATCACTTTGACCACACTTTCCTTATAATCTTCAAAATTTTTCTTTTTCATATTAAATGCGTAGTCCTCCAGTATAGTAGCCAGCTGTACTACACTCATACACTCATGAATATTATACGACTTTTCATCACAAAATTCAACAAACTGTTTCCATACACTTGATTTTGATTTTCGGGTGTTATCTGGTTTTATATTTTCAATTTCTTCTTTAATGACTTGTTGGTTTACTTTTCCAAATCGCGACATTTCGCTATACACTTCTTACTCTACGTACAGACGTTTTAAAACTAGTAATAGCTTAATGACAGAATCGCAAACAAAAATGACAAAACACATATATGTCAAAAACATCAATACCTTGGCCAACTTAACAAATTGAAATTATTTTAAAATGTCATGTTGGATTAATATTTTTTTTTCAAATTTAGGTGTGAAATTTTCTTACCGAATACCACGCAAGCTTAAATTATTCCTGGAAATTTTCTTTCGGGCACGAATATTTTAGGAAAATTATCCCTCGTCTTCGACTCGGGATAATTTTCAAAATATTCGTGCCCTCAAAAAAATTTCCGAAAATAATTTAAGCTCTTGTGATATTATAAGTGAAAATTTCTTATAATGTACCTGATATTAAACTTTTTTGGAAGACGAACTTTTTTCGAAACTTTTTTTTAAACAAAAATAAGGATCTTAACAAAATAATAACACGATATAATACAGCATCTATTACTTTTTAATCAGGTCAGGATTTGGGTAAACTCTGTAGTTTAATAATATAAATAAATTTATTTAGGACATCTAGAAGAAGAAGAAATACGCACGCTTGGTAGAGGCGATTATTTTGGAGAACAAGCACTGCTTAAGGAAGACTACAGAACTGCGTCAGTAATTGCTCTACATCCAGGAGTCGAATGTCTTACCCTCGATAGAGATTCCTTCAATCAGCTTTTAGGTAGCTTGAGTGAAATTCAAGAAAAAGATTACAGGGATGAAGAACGGATGAACAGGCCTGTAGTTCCTGAACAACAAGGTAATTTTATGGTTTCGTTTTATAAGTAGTTATGATTTGGTATTAACCAGAAAATATTTAACAAATGATACGCCAACTCCAAATTCATAAAATTATTTAGACAGTTTATTGATGTTGCTGTTCCATTTTAGAGTATGATTACATTGAACTTGACGATCTTGACATCATTGGCACATTAGGTGTGGGAGGTTTTGGTAGAGTTGAATTAGTACAATATACAAAGGATCCAACTCTCACATTTGCATTGAAATGTTTAAAGAAGCAACATATTGTTGAAACTCAGCAACAAGAACACATCTACAGTGAAAGGGACATAATGTTAAGTTGCAAAAGTCCATTTATATGCAGGTAATAATTTTGTATCTTTCTAAGACTATTATCCTCACGATTATAGAGTAGGTATCTTTCTGTATATTTACGTACGTCCGAAATGCAAGCATCACGAATCAGGAACCGAAGGTGTTTCGATTTTTCAAATTGTTTCGAACGTTTGAATTCGAAACAACAAACAGCTGCTTTTAATACCTGGCTAGTCATTTAAATTATTCAGAAATTTAAGTAAAAGAAAGTGTACGTACCAATATAATAAATTTTCAATTTGAAAAGATTAAGGAAAAGAATAATAACTCATTTTTCTATCAATCTAATTGTCGATCTAAATGTTAGTTTTTGGCTTTGGCAATGCAGATGAGGATTCTAAAAGGTGGAATTTAATTTAAGTAAATATCCCGTGAACAAAAGTAACCATAAATATTGTCTTTGTTCTCCGATAGTTTTTTTTGCTAAAAAATTTTAAAGTTTTTAGACTAATTCCTATAAATTGTTTTTTTTTAATCTTTGTTGTTCTTCTTCTTCTAATGCATATCCACTAATGGATTTTTACTATAAAATTTCCCAAGGTTTCTCTATTCCTGGCAATATATATTTACGACTGTACACCGTGAGCCCTGTCCACTGTCTCATATTTCTCAACTAAGATATTTTCATTTTTCTGATACCCCTCCGGCTTTCGATGTTTCCTTCTATCAACTGATGCAATATCTGATATTTTGTTTTACATTATACGCCCCAGATACAAAATCAATTTAACTCGTTTTTTGTGCACTTTTTCTGGAATAGCCAAAAAGAATATCATTAAGTCTGTCTTCAAATCTGTACCGACTCTAAGAAGCGTTCTAACAAAAACAAGGTCGGAATCATCGAAACAAGAGAAAGAGTGAATTTACCAGGTCCTTTGTGAATGCGGTGAGTCGTATATTATGGAGAGACTAAACGTCCTCTAAATGTAGAACTTGGCGAGCACAAAAAAAACATGTACAAAGAGGTGACATAAAGAAGCCAGGTATTGCAGACCATGTGTGGTCAAAATAGCACAATATAAAGTAGTTGGAAGCTTGGGATATCCACAAGGCGCACCTCACTCGAAAAGGCGTAAATTTGAAGAAGCCGTTTTATAGTCAACAATAATAACATTTTTTGCAATGCTACTGCGGAAATATCTACGATATGGCAACTGCTGATAACTCAGTGGACAACCTCAGGCTTGACTGCACCCAACTTCTTGCGCGAATGTAGTATAAAAGCTCAGTACCTAGTTTTAGGAATTAGATTAGTTTACACTTGATAACTAACCTAACCTAACCCTTTATTAGGTATTAAATATACTAGATATTAAAATTATATTCTTAAATATTTCTATAATTATTTATATTGATCTGGTTCTATAAAAATATATTTGTTATATTAAAATTAATATATATTTTTTTCATTAGATTATACCGAACTTACAAAGATTCCAAATACGTATACATGCTGCTGGAAGCATGCCTGGGCGGTGAAGTTTGGACAATACTAAGAGATAGAGGATGCTTTGATGACCACACTTGTAGATTTGTTACGGCATGTGTCATAGAGGCGTTCGACTATTTACACTCTAGAGGCATTATTTATAGAGATTTAAAACCGGAAAATCTCCTCGTTGATATCCAAGGTAAATTGTTAATAAATTTTAATTAATAATATTTAAATGCTTTATTATAAAATACAGTAAACACTGAATAATTTAAACACAAATAAATAACTTTTCAGCGGCTTAATTTTTAGACTGCAAATTTTCGATTTTTTTTGTTTTTATTATCAAAGAGTATCACAATTTTTGCCTTACACCTGGCCTTTTCAGAATTTACATGGGATTTCCTATGTCCCGTTTTTTGATACATCACACGGTATATTGGATAGGTATATATTAACAGTAAAATATTCTTTCAGGGTACGTTAAACTAGTGGACTTCGGATTTTCAAAAAGATTAGGTTACAGCAGTAAGACGTGGACGTTCTGTGGAACCCCAGTGTATGTTGCACCGGAAACAATTTTAAATAAAGGACATGACAGAGCAGTAGATTATTGGGCGTTAGGAATCTTAATGCACGAATTATTGACCGGCAAGTAAGTATAGGTTTAAAATAAATTATTAAAATACTTAAAGTATTCTAATGTTTCTTTTTTTTTCATAAAACCATCAACATCTCTAAAATACGTCTATTAGCATGTGATTTCGTAGATTCCTATAATAGGTATTATTTATTTGTAGTCCTCCATTTACGGCGTCAGATCCCATGAAAACGTATAATTTGATATTAAAGGGTATTGACATGGTTGATTTCGATAATGTAGGCAGATCCGCCCAAAGTCTAATAAAGAAATTGTGCAGGGATTTGCCATCAGAGAGACTTGGTTATCAGAGAGGTGGAATAATGGACATAAGAAAGCATAAGTAAGTTATGGCTAGTAATATTCATAAGATGATAGAATATTATAAGTATACAAAAATATTCTATAACTATATTCAGTCCTATTCTAATGTTATGTCTGAATTTTACGAAAATATTTTGTTGTCAAGCTATACATTTATTATTAAAACTATTCATTAAAATTTATTTTTATTACATTATTAAGATTAAGTATTCATCCCCTTTCGGTACTGAATAAATGTTTTTGTGAAAGCGTTTCGAAACTGACAGTTTTTGATATTTATTTGAAATGACATTAGCATTAAGAGTGTATTCAATGGCGTTGGAAAGTCCAAGAAATTCCACTATCTTTTTTGGCATACCTCCAATTGTATTGATTCCAACTGGCAGAGTACAGCATTGATTTATTCGATACGTCAAGAAAAATCACTGATGTGTCACAATGAGTGGTCGAGGTTTTGCGTACTTACGAAATACATGTAAGAAATTGATACCATCTATTGGTCTGACAATCCTTATTGGCATCTACGGTCAAAAACGTGATTTCTTCCCGTCTATATGCAAATACTCCAACGATTAAGACAAAATTATAGCTAACAGGAATTCTTTGTCATCGTCTTCTTTCATAAAGAAGCTTCGTTCTATTTCCAGTTTTGTAAATACTTTTGATTTCTTTGCCTGATATCCGGAAGCTTTTCTTTTTAAAAATGCAATAAGGTTTGTGAATTTGCTAATATCTATACGTTTCTGTTCAGGTAAATCATGGTGCGGAGCATCGAATATTTACTCCACGGAGTTGACGGCTTTAAGGTAGTGGATAACTTCAGGAAATAGGCTAGCAATATCTTTTCTGTGAAATTCTCAACATGACCCAGGTTTTAAAGTTGTTGTAGGTGGTCTCTTATAAGTTTTTCGACTTCCTAGGCACTAACGTGGATAGCGCAGTTTCAGCAGCTTGTTGAATATCCAAAGCCTCGTCATTATTACTCATTTTTTCACAAAGCTTTGTAAGAAATACGGCGACGTTCGAACCTGACAGAACTTTGTCATTAAACAACGCATAAACAATGCCTTAGAAACCGATTACCAGAACATTTTAAAAAATAAATAATCATAATAGCATGAAAATCTCAAATTACCCGCTTTCACAAAAAATCTTGTATGAAATTCGTTGCGAAAAGAGTGTTTTAAGCACTCGACGCATTTTGCGTCCCGTTCTTAAAACACATTCATTTCGCAACTTGTTACATAAATAGCTATTCTTTTGTAAATTCTTAAATTAGGGGAGTGAATAGAATTGAAAAACTATAAAGTAAAACAACGAAAGAGTACATATAAAACATCGTAACCGCTTGTTTAAAAATCATACAAATTTGCATAAATGTTCCTCTTTGAATTGTATTAGTTGGAAAAACAAAGCGATTTTGGGAAATTTTCCCTTTTAGAGAGTAAAATGGATGATTTTTTATGAAATGTATTATTACAAGGGAATAATTTTATATGAAATTTGTAGTTATAAAGGGGATGAAAGTTTTTTTTGCAATAAGAGCGATGCTTTTTTATTAAATTTGTTGCTGTCTGATCTGGTAGTACGGAAGTTTATACGAAGATTTTTTGAAGTGACACTGACAATAAGAAATATAAAAGAATTTTGTGGAATATCACGCGTGATTTTTGGTTGAAAATATTTATAGCCAAAGTGATGTATTATTTAAATACACACACCGGAAAAATCTAGGGATATAATTTTATTAAAGTTAAAAATAAATGTTTTGAATAAGCAACCACATATTTGTAGGCCGATTCTTTCTACTTCGATTGAAACGAAGTAGTCACACTAGTTATTTCTAAATTTGGGATATTTGCAGAAGTGTTTGTGCATTTTTTGTCAAATGTATAAAAAGCACCTAGCATCAATTGTTCGAATTTAACCTGTACTGGCTATGTTTTTATGATAACTGGCCACAATTCAATCAAATAAATATATTTAGTATTCAACGACATTATGGAGCGTAGACATCTTAACAGAGACGAAATAAGGGCCATGGGTATGCTCGAAGCTGGAATGCGCCAAATCGACGTAGCTAGAGCATTAAATACAACGCAAAGTGTAATATCGCGATTAAGTGCACGCTACCGTGAAAGTGGTGATGTTGCTGAAAGGCACACAGGGCGACATCGCAGTACTACCCCGCAGCAAGATCATTTTTTAAAATTAAATGATCGACGCCGACAGACTCTTACAGCACCAGAGCTTAGTTTAATTCTCCAGGAAACACATAATGTAACCGTTAGTCCTGACACTGTTCGCAATAGATTAAGAGAGGTCAACTTAAGAAGCAGACGCCCCTGGAGAGCTCAACCCTTAACGAGAGGAAATCGAGATATACGATATTTGTAGGCTCAAGATCATGTTCAGTGGTCGAATGAACAATGGGCCAATGTTCTCTTCACGGATGAGTCATGCTTTGGAATTCATCCGGATTCGAGAAAGCTTAGGGTATGAAGAGAACCGGGAAATATTATTCGGTTGGATCATGTTCTGGAAGTGCACCCTTATCAAGGTGGAACGCAGTTATGGTCTTGGGAGGAGTCCAGTTAGGCCGAAAAACCGATCTCGTTTTTCTTGAAAGGTTTCTAACAGGAATCACATATCGTGATTTAATTCTTGAGCCAGTCGTGTTACCATATGCCAATGATTTTGGGATTTTGGGAAACTTCATTCTCATGCATGACAATACAGCCAGAGTGGTAAGTGAGTTTATCAATCCTCATCAATTAAACATCTTACCCTGGCCGGCACAATCTACTGACCTCAACCCCATCGAGCACGTATGGGACGCGGTCCAAAGAAGAATTTTGAGAATGGGTATGCCTCGTGAAACTCGTAGGGATCTGGTTCGGGCCGTGAATGCAGCGTGGCAGGCTGTACTTCAAGAAGAGATCGACAACCTGATCAGGAGTATGGAAAGACGTTGTAGGGCTGTAATGAACAGTAGAGGAGGCCATACCCTTTATTAAGTAAAAATGGTTTTATCTTTTTTTTTAATTCACAGTTTAAGAGTTTTTTAATTCACAGTTTAAGAGTTAATTCACACAAAAAAAAATGTGTGTATTTTTTGAGTTCAATAAAAATCAAGGTAAATTTGAAAAATTCGGTAAAACTCGCATTTTTATTTCCAATACGTCCTGTAAACTATTTGTCTATTTTAATTTTATTGTATCAGAAATGCAAATAATAAAATTACTGACGATGGCTGGATAAAATTGTAATATCCCTAGACTTTTCCGGTGTGTTTAGATGAGCTAGTAAATACAGTAAAAATAATTCAGAGGTCTTTCTTTTCATAAGCTTCCATAGCGTATTGATACTGTCATCATCATCATCCTTTTCGGGGCTACTGAAAAGGATGAATTTATTAAGTTAACCGGATAACTAGGACTTACCTAACTAAAACTAAACAATTTTGATAGTGTATTTATTAGTTAGAAGTTGTTTTCAGTTGACATATTTTTAGACAATTTACTTTATCAACTTCTTCTGTTACAGGTGGTTTCAAGGTTTTGATTGGGATGGCTTGGTTGGCAGAACGCTACCATCACCAATTCAACAGCCCGTAAGAGGTCCTTGCGATACCAGCAACTTCGATTGTTTCCCAAAAGATAACGACATTCCTCCTGACGAGTTTTCAGACTGGGACGCGAATTTTTGACGTCAACTCGGTTTTTTAAACCTGGATCTCAATATTACCGTCAACAATTACTTTACGTCTTACTGAAATTTCAAGCAATTTAAAAAACAACTTGAATTTATGCAACAAACGTTACAGGGTCATAAGTGCATATTTCCTAGTTTTTTCACTATTCTTTAAATATTACAATTATTACAATAAACATAGATAATAAGTACCGTATATAGATATAATTACAAAGTTTTAATCTTTGTCTAATACGTACGCCTTATTCTTGAAGTGCCATAGTAGTATTCTTTATATACCTACCTATAAAAGTGCCTTGAATGTTTCTTGGTTTACTAGCCAGGTACACTTTGTGTCAATTTATTTTGTATTATATTATGAAATACGCTAACCAAATACACTTTTTTATGATATGATAAGCAAAGAATTACAGAAGCTCTTTCCTTGATCTAATTTCCTTGTTGTTGGGCGTTTAGTTAACCCTATCAAACGTGTATCAAAAATTTTCAAAATATAATAACAAAACGTAGTGGAACTGGATTCGCCTAGTCTTTAGATTTCTATTTAGTAAAATATCCATCTAAGTATGTATAAAGTAACGCATTGAAAAACATATTACAATTGTAATATGTTTCTAAATAAAATTGCTAACTGAGTATTTTTATCATATTCGTTCAAAGTTCGGTATATTTTCTCATATATGTTTAGTTATAGTTGTTTTTCAACTAAGTATTTTAAACATATTTTTACCTTTATTAGAATTAGGCTAGATAACCGAATATACTTTGGAACCAATAGTTATGATTTTATTAGAAAAATTATAGTGAGAGAATTGTGTTAAAAATTTAGTACAAGCCCTAATTAGCATTATTTCATTCTTATTTAATTATTTTCTCCTATTATTTTCTTTAAAAAGACAAGCTCATTGCATTTTAAAAACTTTAATATTTATTGTGACACGTTTTTCAAAATTACCAGTAGTTTATAAAATACTCAGCAATGCTGTGTCACTATAATATAAGTTATAGATACAATATCAAAATAAACAAATCAAAGGAGTATTGAATTATAAATATTTTAATTAATTTTGTAATTTCCTATTGATGATATACTAGATAATAAACAACAAACAACATATTTCTATAAATTGTGGTGCTGTGATATATTTAACCATAAATTTTAATAATTTTAGTAATTAATCAATAATCATTTTTTATATATGTTAGAACCATTTTTAGTAAATATGATTATACCGGATGATCTTCAAAAGTGGTTCACCCATATAACTTTTTTATTTTTTCAGATAAAAAAAACGAGATTTGGTATCTTAGTGTACGACATAAATAAAGATTGACTGACTTATTCAATTAGTTTCGTTCACTGCCTCTTTCACCCGAAATGACTATAACTTTTGATTTAAAGTGATACTCTCTGTATTTTTTTACTTTATTTAATAGAAAATTACATTCTGAAGAGGATGACATATTGTATGTGAACTTTTAATATTTTTGGTTAAAAATAGTACCTATTTTAAATTATTTCATTCTAGAGTCCAAGACAATAAATATATATATAACAACAATTTGACTGGAAATACCAAGTATGTGGTAAAAAATGAATTTTCCAAATCATATGCCTCCTTCCATTTGAACAAATTGAGTTATGATTAAAAATACGATTTAAGCATATTTTAACCGGTCAGGAAAGACACGAAAAACAGTACATGATCAAATCCATTTTTGTAAAGCTCTTTGATTAAAAATTAATGGTTTTAACAGAACCATGGCAGTCTAGATCATACAAAGTTAAAAAATACTGAGGGTGCCATTTAAAAATCAAAATTTGTAGTCATTTCCGGTAAAACAGGAAGTGACCGAAAAATATTGAATATGTCAATCAATCCCTATTTATGTCACATACTAAAATACCAAATATCGTATTTTTATCTGAAAAAAGAAAAAAATTATAGGGGTAAGCCACTTTGGAAAAACACCGGTATATGTATAACAATATAATAATTATAAATTATTGTTAAATATAATAAATTAGATAAACTTTTAGTATTACATAGTCAATCACTGGATGTTAAAGTTAATTGTTAAAATGTTATTAATAAATTTTATATATGTGGTAGATGTTTTTTAATCAACCTGAATATAGTTTTTTACGTTAATTAAAAGTATTCAAGGTTAAGGTAATTTGCATTTCAGGTAGTGTGATAAGAAAAATGGAACTGTTTGAAGTTTGTGACATTCAAAATAAGTGATAAAATGACACAAGCTAGTAATTGTGCTATTTTTAAAATTTTAAGGCAACGGTTCAGTGAAAATCGAGTTCCACTAATGTATTATAAAATTATACAGGTATGTTTTTAAATAATATTTTATTATTAGAATTAATCATAATAAACTACACTTTAGAGAGCTCCATAACATATATTATTCAAATTAACCAAACACATCCAACACAATCATTTTTTTAATAAAAATAATTTGATATTATGGAGAAAATAGAGTCAGTGTAAATATTATTTAATATAATTTTAAAAGACAGTATAATTTTAATTATTTCAATATTTTATATTTTTGTTGTTCTTCGTGCTAGTTGTTTTCTATGGAAAAAAAATATTGAAAATATTAACATTCCAGATCTTACGTCAATAAATCTAATCTTCCTATAATTATATAATGCATAAGGTGCAATTTTAGACCGTATGATCGAAAAAAAACGGCGTCAATAACTTGGGAATGACAATCGATAATAATTTTGGCAAGGCCAATCTCTAGACGTCATTTACTAAAAATTGACATAAAACTTGTTAAAAATTAACACTTATTATAGAAAGATTAAAATCACAAATCTGTTTACAAAAATTGGCGCCGGGAGGCACGTATAGCCGCCCATACTAAAATATGTTAATAAAAAGTTGGTAGGCAGTTCTTTTAGTTTGAATTATCTCAAAAACTGCGACTTTGACTGATTTTGATGTTATTACAAATTTTGTTGCAAATATTATTCCTAATCTTAAATTGAAAGCCGCGTTTCGCTAGCTACTGTAATTTTGGCGTTACGATTTTTTAAAATTTTTTAACCCCCTCCCATACCCCCTTATCAACACCCCACCCCCACCAAAAACTAATGGCCAGATTTTCGGGTGCCACAGGTTTCGGGTGCCAATATGTTTGTGCCAAATTTGGTTAAAATCGGTTTAGCCGTTTTCGAGTTATCGTGTTACAGACAGACGGACAGACACCATGAAAATATTTTGTATTTAGGTCATTTATGACCCAAATAACTCATTTTGAGTGAAATTAAAAAAACTTTTTTGCCGATCTTAATAGCCTACCATACCTATGGTGGTATGGTCGGCTAAAAATTTTTTTTTTCTCGAATTTTAAACTACACCATTTAAACATCATATTTACTCAATATACAGGGTGTCAAAAAATAGTGTATCTAACCCATATAACACACAATATCCGCAGGATATTCATGGAATGTCGGAATGTCCCATTATAAGATCATCTTATAAAGACATCTATAGGATATCCTCCAGACATCTGAAATCCTGTAGATGTCTCAGAATAGAATATCCTATGGATATATCTGTCGTATATCTAATGTACATCCAGCTGAGATATCCAAACATGGTCATGATAATAAAATATCCTAACAATATCGTCTAGATATTTAGGAAAAATAAATAATGTACTACCTTTTATATTACATAAAAAGCTATAAACCATACAGATAGATATATATTACGTCAAGGCAACAAAATATCCTGTTGGTATCTTCTGGATAACTTGAATATTTATGAGCTTGGCCACTCCCAGTAATACAGAGAATTTAAAACGCCCGCGCAAAAACTTTTCCACAATCCATCTATACAGTTGTTTGTTTTTGCATCGTGTATTATTCAGTTCTTTGATTTAGTGAAATTCGAGGTGAATTCGGTCGTTTGTCGTTATTGAATGGGCTTAAAAATGACTGAAACTAACAAAACTGGTTGAGTTTGACTTAGTTTTTTCTTATACTCATAGTCCTTGTTCTAGCAGAAATTCTATCCTAACCTCAACTAATGTCGAAAAACGACGAACGACTCAGGGTCTCACAATGAAAAATTTGTGACAAAATTATAGGTGAAAATTTATTGAAAAGCGCTTGTTCTTTATCCCTAAGCCCATTTTCGTGTTTGATCTATTCAAACAGAAATCCTATTTTTGTGTTTAAATTGTGAGTTTCTGGAATGTGTGGTGTTAGAAATTATACCTGTATCCTGTGTGCTAACTTTGATGTAAACTGTTGCTGCTAGACATAAACTGCTAGACTCCATAAAGGGTAGTATAATCTGGTATAATACCATATCATCGAAAAAAACGGCGTCAGAGGTGGTTTGGAAATGAAGATTGCTGTTAATTTGTATGTAAAATTATATAGGGAATGTCATCGATCGTAATTTTTCAAGCCAATTGAACGTCGTTTTTTTTCGATGGTACAGTATAAATTGAAAGGTCTTAACGCATACAAATAGACTTCTAAATTTTGACGCAAAATTCATTGACATAATATGTAGGTATATTTTAGAGCTGTTAATAAAAATATCCAATGAATAACGTCAAAATGTGGCTAATTAAAACTAAATCGCGAACGTTTTTACTATAAACTAAGGATGAAGTAAGTATTGTCAAATAACAGTCCTCATATAATGTCCTAAAAATATTCTATAATGCTCCCAACATCATCCTTGTATTATCCTATAAATATCCCAAATAATCGTAAAAGGCTTGCCTAGGGATGTCTTGAAGATGCCTTTTTTGTCCCATCTGGATATCCCATAAATATCCTCCTCTGGTTTTTGGATATCCCTAAGATATTTACTATATCCTTGGTGGATATCCTCAAGATATCTATAGGATTGTGTTGTGTTATATGGGAACTTTTGTGGGTGATCCTGCAGATAAAAATAAAACAAAAGTTCCTATAAACATATACCCTAAAATGTTGTCGAAAGATACACTTTTTGACATCCTGCATAAATAAATTACAACGTTCTTAAGGCCAACCGGTAGTAAGCGGCCGTAAAAAATAAAGAAGAGTACAGGAATTGACCCGCCCGTTTATTTTTCGATTGTAAAGTAGTAACATCACAGATAACACAATATGACTGTGATACCATGTTAATTTACTCGGAAAACTAAATTTAAAATAAAAAATACAAAATAATAATACAGAAAGAAACGTATTTTGCACGTAAATGATATTTTAAGCTACTTACGTAGATATTAAACAAATGGGTAGGTAGTTAGCCTTAATTTAACCCCATTATCAAATGTCTTTGTTCTAAAAATAGATATTGTCCAGTGCGTGGCAACTAAAATAGCGTGAGTTCTCTATGATAAGAATATAATTATTACATGGTAGTCGGGACATGAGCCTAATGGTTACACACCTTTAATCCAGAGTTATGTATGGTGTTTAAATACAATTTTTTCACGTATTTAAAATTATTTTTATACTTTTACATGTTTAAATGCAATTGACGTATAATCTACTTAAAAAACTCCACAATTTCATGTAACAAATAAACCAGTAAAAAAATGTCACTGTATAGCGATGTGTGCAATAGATCTTTTTCGTGGTTATTTTTAGTGATTCACAATATTCAATTTCTCGAAATAAACCGACTCCTACGATTCGTTCATTTGAACAAACTACATACAGGGTGTCCCATTTTTGTGTGCTTTACAGGGTTTCTCGTTTATGAGTGGAGATACTACAAAGGTGTGACTTTCACATCACTGTGCTACTTTTTTATGAAATTAAAGATGCTAAACATGTACAGATATTTGTCCTAACCTTCTTAGTTCATAAAATACAAGGCCAATTTGAAATTGTTGCATTTTTTGACCCCCTTCAAATTTTGGTTATCTTATAACTTATCGAAAAGTCGAAAACTGAGTTTCAGCGTTGATGAAAAGAGGTAGGAGGATACGCATCCTAATGGTCAAAAATTGGTGACAAATGTGGTTTGATTTCAATCTGCGGCCAACGCATAAAACACTCATTTTCTCTAATTCGGCTAGCGAAGGCATATCGAAGACGGTATGGAACTGAAAGCGACAGTGTTGCCATATTAAAATGTTTAATATCTGTAATACGTTTGACGAAAATATCTTTGGATGAAAATACCGCGTTATACAGGGTGTCCCAGAAATAAGTGCAAATATTTTAACTGGTAGTATAGTTCAACCCCAGAAACACGCCTATGAAGTTTTTTTTGCTAAAAAAATGTTGAAAATTTAAAATTTTTCTTGACATTTTCCGGGAAATTTGAAAACCCTTTTTAGTGCCACTTGTTTATTCACCTGAGATTTCCCTACGGTGTATCTAAACCTTGCAGTGTTGCAACCTCCTATGTTATCCACATTCTACATAGTTCGGCGGAACATAGTTCTACATTTATAAATTCATAGACAAATTCCTACTCAAAAAATTAGGAATGTTAAATTTAATCTTTTATCAGTGCTCATTATTAATAATTATAGAAAAAGAAACACATTAATTATTTTTAGTACTTACCCTTTCAATGAAAACTTAACAAAAACCACCGAAAATTAACTAAAACATTACGTTTATGACGTTTACGAAAATCTTTGTTATGTTGCAAAATAACTTTATTTTGGAATAAATTTAATAAAATGATTCATATTATTCACAATCAGGTCACAAAAAGAAATTCCTAAAATGTTTATCGTAATTTAGAATTCAATTCAAGAAATTTAGAAAACAGCCCAACGAATAATCGGTTCATTTTTGTTTTGTTTGTTTTCTTTCATGTTTCTCTGTTTTATTTGAACCACTGTTTTACAAAACACCTTGAAAAGCGCACATTACTTTGAATACCTTTCTGAATGAATAAATGTTGAGAATTATTGTCTCTTATCGCCACTTTACGAACTACTTTCAATCTAAGAAAATACATGTTTCACTCAACAATTATTGACAACGTATTTTGTTTTTTCGCTATTTTTTCGATGTATTTCGACAATTCCATCGGCAGCCTAACCGTCAACAAGAACTGCCGCGTGTGAACCGGTCCTTTGAGTCGCCGGTAGCCGCGCCGTC